AAAAAATTGTAAAAGATTACAAAAAAAGCTACTCAATGAATAAAGATTTGTTAGATCATAATTAATAAAACAAAAAATAGATAAGTATATATAACACCATAATACTGCTGAGCATAAAGTATAAGACAAAATGCTTTAAATTTGCATTGTTTATTAAAAATTGTACTAAAACTACTGCACTTTATATCATATTACATCATAATATAGGTAAACTGCCCAGTATAATTTCCCTTTGAAGCAAATGAAGGTCTTATTTGATGGCACAGTGATTTAGTAATAATCTGTTTGTGCCATGTATCTTGTCCATATAAAATTTGTAAAGCTTCAGGAAATTATAAATTTTATAAGTCTGTGTTATAAGATTTTTACTGATCAGCAGAATTAAATTGCAATGCTACTATTTTGAACCTAAATTTAATCTTCAAACTGGTTTCCTCAAAACAATTGAAAACAATTGATTTATGTAGTTTTATAGAGAAGCTTGTAACTAGTGCATTCCAAACTCCATAGACTGCACCTTATTTAATGACTACAACTTGTGTCACTTTGTTACATGATAACACTTGTCCTTGTGTAAAAATTTCAATTGAACCACTTCCTTTCTAGCCTGAAGTTATCCACTCAAGATCATATGAAAAAAAAAAAAAAAAACTATTAATAAACTTGTTTCTCGAAATAAAGAATTTTATCGGAAGGGCACTGATGACTTGCTGTCTCGAGGTAATATGTAGAATGAGACTAAAAGGGAGTATTAAATAAATAATTTTACTAGGAATTTCTTTTTTTTTCAATTTCTGTTTATATAGATTGGTAATTTCTTGTTGAACAAATTACAAATTAATGTAATATATAAAAATAGGTATCACCACTCAGTTTTGATACCTTGGTTTAAAATTAATTTTTATAAATGAAAAGGCTTTCTTTTTAGCTTTAACTGGCAGTTAAATGATTAAATTCAGTACTTCCAGTAAGCAAAATACTCTGTAATTTCAAAGAGAAATTATATTGATTTGAATCTCAACTTTTTGGTCACTTTCACAAGATCATTTAAATTTGGCACTCTTCACACATTTTGACACATTTGAAACAAAATTTAATTATTGGTTTTAAAAATTTTCCAAAAATAAAATATATATTTGTGACACATTATTTGAGGAAAATTACTAAATTTAAAGTTAAATTAATCTGATTTGAAACAAATATTGCTTAATTATAGCATAAAAAATGTAGTATACAAGCATTTCTCATGGACTACCATACTTACAAAACAGGAATGATTATACACTAAAAAAAAAAAAATTTTTTTTTTTTTTTTTAAATATTTGGTGTAAATGACTTTTATTGAGCTTTTCAATGTTTGATTCATAAATATAGTTTTCACTTAATAGCAATATCACCTAAGTAGATTGACGTAGTGGAAAATTTTGATCACTTTAAATTATCAATTATTAAAATTAAAAAATGAAAACAGTTCTTGTAAAATTTCATTATTCATTGAAAAAAATTTTTTCTTAAGACAATAGTGTCTTTAATAAATTTTATTTATAAAAGCAATTAAAAGCTTTTCTAATTAAATAATAGCATAGTTTTATTGCATTTTTTTATTTTACAATTCAGAGCAAATTTTTGGTAACTGGGTGTCCTGTTTTGCAAAAAAGAAAAAAAAAAAACCTAATGATTTAAGTTCTACCAAGAGTCCTGCTTTTAACTAATATAACAAATTTTGAGATAGAAATTTAATTTCTTGAAATTTCATGAAATTAAGTGGTGGGGAGTAGGTAACATGTAAAAAAAAAAAAAAATAAATAAATAAAAATTAAAAAAAATTACCAAGACTTTCTTAAAAAAAAAAAAAAAAAAATTAAAGAAATAATTTCATTAATTTGTGAATAAGTCTTGAAAGTTTCATTAAAATCTAACAATTATCTGATTTTTGCAAGAATTCTCAAATCAATGTATTTTTCACCTGAAAAAGGCACTAAGAAATTACTGTAAATATTACATAGACCGCTGGCATAAAAAGAAAAAATTTTTAACTAAAATTTCAAACGTGCTAGAAAAGATTAAAAATTTTAATAAAATAAAAAAATACTTTGGTCTTTCCTCTTAATAATAACAAACGTTTTGATGATAAATTAAGTTTGGGGCCTTTATTCATGCTATGCTTTTTTCTTTTTTTTTTTCTTTTTTGTTAGCGAAAAGGTGGAGGTACCAATATAAAAATATTTGAGAATTTCTTTGTCTAGATTTTTCTGTATTAAGAATGATTTATTGAAATAGAGGTTTATAAAATATTGCAAGTGGAATTTTTTTACATTGAATCATAATTTGACTGTTGTAGAAAAACCTTTTTTTTTCTAATTTGATAACAATTTTAGACTGTAGCACAACAAATATAAAACAACAAATGACAACTTTGAGCTAAAAAAAAAAACAAAAATTTGGTTAAAGTGGTCAAATAATATAGTCGCCCATTTTATTAGATGCTATCCAAAACTCACAAGAAGTTAATGTGTGAAATAAATAGCTTCCTTGAAAAACAAAAAAAATTGATAGAAAATAATGTGCTTTATTTACTGGTAGGATAGTTTCAAGAGATTACAAAATATCTAGATGACACATGGGAATGCTCGGTAACTTTAAACAGATTAATCAATCTATTTAAATTCCCAAAACTTTTTGTAATCATATTGTGTATTTCAGATGTTCTATTTACATTGGAAGTGGTGTAAATGGATTTTTGAAAATTATATTTCCTTATACAAGAAGGCAGATATTGCTATTTTCTGTTTTTGAGCCCATACCAAAACAAAATGTGTTTGAAGAATAGTTTTCTTTCTTTGATTACATTAATTATTTGATAGAAATAAAAACTCTATAAAAGTGCAAGGACTATTAAATTACCACTTTTTTTTTTTCTAAAAAGGGAGGTAATCTCTCTAATTATTTTTAAGCTGTTTTAACTTATTTAGTGCAATTTTATTGAAACCTATAAAGATAGAAGAAGCAAGCTCCTGTTTGGATGCTGCTGACAATAAATAAAATTACTTCTCTCTCTTTTTTAGGTTACCTTTTTAAAAAATTAAATTATGTGATTAGATGTATTTCAGGAACTTGTGCATTTTGCCTGCTCTACCATGAAAGGAATTTCAATAACCAAATTTCATACTTAACTAAGAATGAAATTTTATTTGATTAGTCTTTTAAGTTCTTGAAAAAAATATTAAAATGATAATTAAGTCATAACATTGTATATTTTTGTATCTGAAAAATGTTCCCTTTTCTTTAGAATTCTGAAAAACCATGATAAAAAAAAAATTAATTAAAATCATATCCTGCATTTATAAATTTAAACACTTAATTTATTTTATTTCAATTTATTTATTTATTTATTGCAAGATCATTTGTCTTATCTTTTCTCTCAGAATGATCTTTGCATGAAACTGTTTTCATTTGATATTCATGTGTTTTGGTGACTTCATCACAGTTTATACTGAACTTATTTTGCACTTTAGACAAAATATTTCTTTTCAGCCTGATAATTATATATTCTTTTTTATTTAGTTTCTTTAAATAATTACTAGCAAAGAGCTAATTATTTATAACAGTGACTAATTTAACCTTCATTAGCATTTATCTTTGTTTAGAATAGATTTGTTTTTATAGGCTTGTATTTCAGGTTAATTAGGTTTGTTTTTTTTTCCTTTATTCAAATAAAAATTAGACTTTAAGAATGCTAACTATAAATTATTTTCTTTACATAAAACCCCAGAATCTTTTATTTTAAAGATAAATTATAAACCCTAATTATGAAATGTCACTTAATAAATTTCCTATTAAGCTGAATAAACTTTGAATACATATTTTAAAATTATTTATTTTAAGAATATTTCATAAATTCATTTTTTTTCTCTCGTTCAGTTAATTTAAATTTTGAAAGAAAGATATTTGGCAATATTTATACAATAAAAAGAAAATCTATCAAAATCAGTGTTTCCCAAACATTTTTCAACCAGTGCCCTCTTTCAAACTTTTTGTCAACGTCCTTCCCGGTCAAATTAAATTTTGAATATTATACTGAATTCATTTTTCATAGCAAGATAACACTTACGTATTAGTGGAAAAATAATCGTAATATTGTTTTCATTTCTATTATAAATGCCAATGACTAAAAGGCTAAAAAAAAAAAATTATTTGATAGTTTATCTCAATGTTTTCAATGCACTGGTTGTCTTTGGTGCTTACTGGATAAGGCTCTTATTCTATATTCCATGCTGCTTAGAAGTAATTGTAGATTTCCTTGTTTTGTAATTTGCAGGTGGTTACTTTTAGTAAGAAGCTGTGTAACTGGATTTAAACCATAAAAAAGGCATAAGTTTTCAATATGTCAACCATATAGGAAGTTAGAAAAGAAATGAAGAAAAGTTTGATAGCTTCTCACAGCTTTAGATACCTTTCAGAAATTTCCTTTTGTAGCCAATATTGAATAATTTTAGAAAATTTGAAAAAATAAATAAGTAAATAAATAAAAAAAAAAAAAAAAAATGGATAAATGTCCACCAACACCTTGATTATATTCAACACCCTCTCTCATTGTCTCCTTTCAACATAACAGAGCCCACAAGGGAGTGCTAGTGCTCAAATTGGGAAACGCTGGTCTAAATAAATACCAGGAGTTCAATTTACTTTTGTGATGAATATGACTTTCATAATGATCACTATTTGTATGATTTACTTTAGCATTTTGAAAAGAATAATTTAATTTATATTATTTTATCATTTTAATTGATTCAGTAATTTTTAATTTTGTGTAATTTGTGTTAATTAATTCTCATATAATTATGATTTGAAAATATTCATTATTTTTGTTTGTCACAAATTATTTTGCAATATCTGTAATTAACTACTCTCATTAAAGACGTCATATTTGTTTTCTTGAAATGTAAGTACTGATTTGTATTATATCTCTGTTTCTGTCTCTGTCTCTCTCTGCCTTACAGTGTCATTACAAGATATCCATCTTCGCAAACCTTATCAAAGCAACTTCGTACCAGATCAACAAGTTGTTTCAAGTTCGACTATGCCAAATGCCATGCGGATCACATACAGCCAGTGTGATAGAGCTCCTGCTCTGGAAAAACTTGATATATTCCGGTAAGTGAGATGTTTTTAATATAATTTTCAATGGGGAAAAGAATAGCCATTTCCAAGCAAGAAAACATTCCCCATCCACTGACTGAACAGTTAGTATTGCTCTCAGTTGAAATTTATAAAATCTTTTTAAAACCATTTTTCAGAAAAAATAGATTTCTCAAATCCACTGTTATCACTTTTTCTAGTATTGATTGAGGGGGTTTCTTTTGTTTAAGGTAGTGTGAAATATCAGCATCTTGATTGTGCCATTACTTTCTCTTCTAATTACATGTACTATCCTTTTTAGTTATTGCTGCTTTTGGGAGCCTGAGCAATTTTGAATAAATATTTATAATAGCAAAGCTTTTAACTTTGAGAAAATTATGAATTTTGCATAATATTTAAAAATTAACTGATAAGAAGTGGGCATGTAGTTGAATGGTGATAGCATTATGATCATAAGACCCAGGTTTTGACACTCACCAGAGTTGGTTAAGTCAAGTAGTTGGCTTCTTGATGATAATATTCTGGTGAGAAAATCCCAGCATGCAGTGCCATTGGGAAGTACTTGAAAACCATCCCATGGCAGACCCAAGCCTTGTGGATGAAATTAAGTAGACAAAACTGTTCAAAAGCTATTGATTGCTCTGCTGATGGTCAGATCGATTGCCGACCAAGGCTTAAGTGCTTCTATCTAGAGAGTAACTACATAAACACCCATCCCTCAGCAGGCTGGCCCCTCATGTGGATGTGACAGCTTGAAAAAACGTACAATGATTAAAATTTTTTAAGTTTTACAATCCACAGAGATTGCGTCATCTTTTAACTTAACACGCATCAGGCTTGGTGATTATTTTCATGGCCATATCAAGTTGAAACATTGGTCCTCATTTGATTATTAAAGTTATCCAATGGTGGCTCAACAGATGGATGACCAATGGGGAATACCAGATGTGCTATAAACTATGTGACAGGCCTAGTAAGTCAGTGATGGATACAATCTTGCTACTTATAATAACAGAAAACCTCTATGTGGAAGTGCTTCTGAACAGATAGGTCGCAAAACCTACCTTGAGTTAATTGATAATAAACTTCTTTGAACATTTATTCTCCTTTTGAGTTTTATTAATATTTAGTTGTGTTGATCACCTAAATACAACTATCATCTCGGATTGTTGGCACAGGAGTGGTTGAATAGTGGTTCCTTGAAGCAACTGATGCACTAAGTTTTATAGAGAAGATTGAAAGTAGTGCATTCCAAACTCTGTAGACTGCAACTTGTTTAACTCTCAATATAATTATCATCTCACATTGTTGTCTTTGGCTCAGTTGATAAAAGTTAAATTATAACTGGAGAATATTTCTTTGTAAATTATCTTACTATCTGAATATGTGGACTATGCTTGATGTAAACTGAAATACTTGCTGAAGAGCAAATAGTTTCTATTTTTCATTAACATGTTCAATGTTAAAAACTCTAAAAAAATATCTTCTAATAATTGCTGTTTGCATATTTTAGCCAATCCATTATTCAGCCCTTGACAGTTGTAAACTGAGTGAAAAGCAAACTTTTAACTGAGATTTTAAAATGGTCTTTTTATGATGATAGAATGGATACTTTCCAAGAAAAAATGAAATCCTTATCTGGAATAGTATCCGGAAGTCTTTATTTAAATACTAATATTATTGGATTGTTGTACATTTTACAAGTATGATTAATAGTGAATATAGGCTGTAGAAAATTTGTCATTTGACATCTTTTTTCTCTAAGCAATTAACATTGGGAGTTAGAAAGGAAAAAAAAAAGACAATATATTTTTTATCTAAGCATTATTTTTAATTCCACAAGTGAATATGAATTGTACAGTTTTTTTTTTCTTACCCCAAGTAAGGCAATAAAGTCACTAAGAGAGAAAGATTGAAAGAATATGAGAGAGAACAATAAAAGAATATGCAATAAGAAAACAGAAGATAACAGTTGACATTGCATTTATATTTTTCAAGATCAAACTTGTCTGGAAAGCAAAAAGTCTGGGAAAGAGATCCACAAGCAAGGAGTGTGATAGAAGAAATTGTTAGCATAGAACTTGTTTACATCTAGCCATTTCATCTTTAAAATGATGAGACCTAGCTGCCAATCTACTACTGCGCTCATATTCATAAAGTCAAGGTAATAAAGAAGAAAGCTCATCAGAACAATTATCATGAAAATATTTATAGAAAAGGCATAGGGAAGCCATGTTACAGCTGTGGGAAAGTGACTGAAACCGAGATGTTAGGTCAGAACCAATAACATTATAGATACTTTGGATTTTATCAAGAATCTCTTAAATACATAGCAGAAGCACCAGGCCAGATGTGGTAGCAATATTTGATGCATAGATGAATAGTAGACTTATAAATATGTAAAATAGATTAAGGAGAGACACAATGAACCAACATTTTTAGCTACAGACTTAGCAGTTGATTCAATAAACTCTTTCAACTTCATGTCAGCTGAAAATGTTTATTCGAGAAGGCAAAATGAATCACTCTCCTGGAAGTTAGCTACTATCCTCATTGAGTTTGAGGACCAATAACATTGCAGATTCTTCTTTGGATTTTATCAAGAATCTCTAAATATACACCAGGAGCACCAGACCCGATGTGGCAGTAATATTCAATGTATGGACAAATGGTAGACTTATTTATGTGTAAGACAGATTTTGACAAGCAAAATTGTCTTGCTTGACACACTGAACCAACTTTCTGAGAAACAGACCCAGAAATAATAATTTAATTTAAACTTTTGTCTAATCAAATCTTAAAACTTTGTGTCCATTTCTCTATGACTGTGTTACTTTATTCTCTTTCACCTGTTTTGTAAAGGATTTATGCATTTTAATTTTTTAATTTTTTTTTTTTTTTTTTTTTTTTAATTAAAATATTTTCCTTATAATTAAGATATATTAATCTATCATCATCAGTCCCTTGAGCAGAAGAAATGGACAACATCCTTTAGGATGATCAGTTATCGGTGTCTCTCAGGAGTTCTGGCATTGTCTTGTCTGTCCACTTGTTGATGTTGTCTTACTAGCTCTTGTGTTACAGTCTTTGCCTGGGTGATGGTCCTGAAAATGTTATGCAATGTGGCCAAACCATACCATCTTAATGCTTAATAGTTGCTAGGAAAGATTCCTGTCAACTCACAAGACTTTTCACCTTGCTCCATATATAGTCATTAGTTTTATGTTCTCTGTAGATGCGGAGGAGCTTTTCAAACATTTTTTTTTTTTTTAAATCTATGGTTTTATTTCATAACATTTAAATGTATCCCCTTTAAAAATTTAGCTAAATGTACTGTGATATTTTTCTTTGTTCTTAGATGTGCCGTTGCTTAAAAAGGTTGAGAAACACCGATCTAATAGAACTGCATCTCTTTTGCTTAAAGTCTCTTTATCTGTAAGGAAATTATCCAATATTCAATGCTATACTGGTAGATAGATAAGACATTCAGCACTCTTTTATTTCTAACAAAACATTCCTTTGTCTTCACACTTTGCTTGGTTTCTGGAAAGCTTTTTTTTTTTTTTTTTTTCTTCATGATTCCAATATGCCTTTGGATCTATTACTCTGTACATTGTACCTGCTTGATTCTAATGTTTTCAGTTCATAGATTACACCTCTGGCTTCCTCTTTTACTAATGACTATACATTGTCTTACTTGTTAGTCCTTTCTTCTCAATTTCCTTTACATTCCCTACAAGTTGTTTTTTTTTTTTTTTTTTTTTTTAATAGTTTTTCTTTTGAGTCTGCCGTTAACAAAGTGTGATCGACATATCTCATGTTAAGATTATGCCCAATGATAGTAAATCTTGGTAGGTCTTCTGCTTAGGACCATCTTGCTGTATAGATTAAATAAATCCAGTGAGAAAAGGCATCATTGTTTTACTCTTGTTTTTATGTATTTATCCTGACAAAAATATGACTAAAATAGTCCTTTTGCTACTACAACCTGACACTGAGCAAGTAATAATTAAGTATCCTGTTTGTCTTTGTACTCACTCACCTCTTCTATGTACTGTCTTTCAATGTGAGCCACTAATGTCAAAAGGTCAAGATGACTACTCCATAACTAGGGCATAGGAACAGTTGTGTTCATCTCTCTCATTGAGACCTTTACTCAAGGGAAACAAATCACAAGCAAAATTAGGCAAACATGAACCTTCATTACCCACAAAAAAAACAGTGTCAAAAGGATGGGCTTTTATTTTAACCAGCAATGTTTATTTTAAAAAGCAATGATTAGAATTCTAATAAAACCTAAAAATATGATGAAAGTGAATTTATACTTTTTTCTTGTTCTTGAGAATTTACAAGAAAAATATTAAACATCTATTTATTAAATTGTTTATTTACAATAATTTTATATTTACAATATTCTAAAAACTACCACAATTAAAGCTAATGCAATTATAAATTTACCAATTTATAAAGAAATATGTAGACAATTTTTTATTCATAAATTTATTAACATTTACTAAATTATTAAAATGTTTGAACAATGTTTAAGTAAATCCTTATTTTGAATTTTATAAAATTTGAATTGATCAGCAATTAACTGATGTTTTGCAAACCATTCAAATAAGCAATATAATAGTGTAAATAAGCTATCTAATAAATATTGATTATTATTTTTGTTGTAAATTCTCAAGAACAAAGAAAATGTATAAATTCACTTTCATGTTTTAGGTTTTATAACAATTCTAATCATTGCTTTTTAAAACAAACTTTGTTGAAGGTAGTCAAAATAAAGTGTCATGAGAAAAACTGTTCTGTTAGCACAAAGATCCATGTTTACCAAAAATTAGGTTATTCCTTTTCCAAAAAGTTCAATCTGTGCCTCTTGTGGTCAAAATATTTATGGTTGTCATAGAAAATACTGTTTATTTAAAAAAAAAAACTTTTGGAATTTTCTTTGATATAAAAAGATAAATTTTTGCTGAAGATAAAACTTATTAAAAGTTAACAGCCCCCCCCTC